TTGGACCTTAGGCAAAAATGAGCACTTAACCTCTGCTATGGGGCTACCCCTGCATTGCAGGGGTTAAGTGCTCATTTTTGCCTAAGGTCCAAAAAAAAAAAGTTGTACTCGCCTGTTCCTCAGACCTGGACGGCTATTCGACCGGTCCCTGGAGTATCTCTTCCCCTCCGCTGCAACGATCTAAGGTCCCTGAGACATCAGATTTTATACACCGTGTATAGGACATGAGGATACTGAAGGACAGGACATCACTGCAGTGGAGGGAGCACTGTAACAGCGAGCAGGCTTGGAGGATTGGGTGAGTCCAACCTTTGTTATTTTTGACCCTAGGCAAAAATGAGCACTTAACCCTTGCTTCCAATTAGGAAGCTGGGAGACGGGTCATTACGTGCCGCCCGGCTTCCTGATTGGTTAGGAAGGCAGTCTGCCTAGAAACAAGTGAAGCCGGCTTCCTAGCCAATCAGGAAGTCGGGAGGTGGCTCATAACCCACCACCAAGCTTCCTGATTGGGAAGGACGCTGACTCCATGATCCCTCTGGACTGCCGGTCAGAGGGAGTCCTCCCTCTGACCGGAAGTTCCGGTATCAGAGGTAAGTATCGGAGCATTTGGACGAGTATAAATACTCCCCCAAATACTCGGTATTGGCACCGACTAACTTTTGACTTTTACATCACCTTACACTGTAAGCGGTACTATTTAAAAAAAACCTCCTTGTATGCAGAGCTTCTCTGCAGAGATAACTCTCTCCTATACGGCATAGAACTAGCTGCTGCAGTCCAAGTAGGTTGTCTTTAGTTGGCCATACACAAGTAGAATTGCATTTGAAATAATTCCCTTTTCAGAATGTTTGTTCGATTTTCTAATACTTAATGGGGTCCTTGTTCACCAAAGTGAGAGAAAAAAATCAAAGAAGCAGGGGGGATGTTTCTCGATTTGAAAGAAATTCTAACAGTGAAAGTGTTTTTCCTTCAGAAAATCAAATTAAATTTTCAACAACATTTGTCAGGTGTCTGATGGCGTTATCAAATGTTCTGACAAGATTTTTGTATGAATGTTCATATGAAAATCTACCAGTGTTGCCAGCTTTAGTTGGCCAGCCAGTTAAGTACAAACTTCTAGATGGATTTGGTTATTAGGCGTGGGATAGAACTTCTGGGAAATACAGATTTATTTTTAGTTCTTGACCTTGGATACCCTTTTTCTTTTGATCCAAAATGTATATTTTATCTGTAATTGGAGCCTGGTGGGTGAGTCCATCCATGTCTTATCTTATATGAGAGATATCCCGACTCCTGTCCACCTGGGAGTTTCGGGGGCTCCTGCTTACCCCTTATATGTTCCTGTATTTTGTGTTGCTTTCTCTATAATATAAAATGATAAAAAAATTCAACAGAAAGGGAAGGAAAATCCCTCGCAATGGTCACAGCAGGAATAAAGGGCAAATATTCCACTTATAGAAGTCCAGAGAGATGTAAGAACATGTCAGGTGGTTTAACTGACATTTCTGTTTTTGGAGGACTGACCCTTGAAAATAAAGGCCGAACACTAGTTCAGGGTTAAATGCCCGGAGTTCTAATTTAAGGCCAGGTTTACACTAGGGCGATCCGTGACCGTGCTGCAATTGTACACAAAACTGTGCGGTCATGGAATCGCCCACCACCTCTGATCGCGCTGGCGGTGGCATTATTTTCTAATGGCACCCCAGTTGCTCCAGGCAGATCACACGGTTTGCTGTGCAATCCCATACGATCGCGGTAAAAAAATTAATAAACGTGCAGTGCATGTGGCAAAAAAAGGTACATGTACCTTTTTTCAACCATTGACGCGCATATGTAACCGCATTGAAATCAATGGAGCCACGCAGCAAATGCTGTGTGCAGTTGAAAACGATCGGGTGGTCCTGGGACGTAAGTCTGCACCAGCCCTAATACATTTACTGCTACATAGGAACACATGGTTAAAGAATGTTTGATTACAGGTCGGGAATTCTCCCCTACACCGGGGACACTCTCTGGCTTAGCAATATTTGTCCTTTTCCATTCCCCTGAGATGCCATGTTTGATGAGATGACATGTGGTGGGAAAGCGGACTTGGTCACAGTTTGTTTATACTTGTGTGACTAATAAAGGAAATATATCTGAGGACATTGTGGACGGAATCCGATCATGCATTCGAGGGCGCTGCATTCACTACACTTTATGGTAGAAGCATATTCTTCAAAGAGTTGCTGCACATAAAAAGAAAAAGTTCTGTGATTTTAAATAGTATAAACTCACACAACAGGCTTCCTTAAAGTAAGACTCCAGGTATGCAAAAAGTTAACCCTTGCAGTGGGCCTGCCCCCACACTGCAAGGGTTAACTGCTCGTTTTTCTCTAGGCTGGAAAAAAGAAGACATACCCAATCCTCGGTCCTGCGGCAGTGAGCGGTCGCCTCTCTCATGCTCCAGTCCGGCTGTGGTATGTCCCTTAGCGTCCTCGCGTCTAATTCAGGTGAATGGACTGCATTAGACGTGATGAAGCCAGCGGGGACCAGTCTAGCAGCCAAGTGGGACTGAGGAACAGGTGAGTATATGTTTTTTTACAATGCACATTATTACAGTACCTTGTGCTTTGCTGCAACACATGCCCACCAGGAAGTGCTTTGGGGTTTCATTGAGAATGAATGACAGCACACCTAGCATGCAGAACTGTACGGTAACGCACACTAAACGCATGGATTCTGCACGCTTAGCGCAGAGCTTTGACGTGAACCGGCCAGAAGACTTTCACAAGCCTAAAGGTGGCTGGTTCTCTTTAAATCTGCAAGTTGTCTCATGCTGTGTCTTTCTGCACACACTGATATTACTGTCCCCGCAGTGGCTGTCTGACGACCATTTTAGTCTGCATTGTCTTCTCACGGTCAGGTTGGAACAATTTATTTTTTCTGTGTGTTCCCTGCTAGGCAATCAACATTAGTGATGCATTATGCTTCTGTGAGCAATATTTCCTCTATTAGTCACTCGTTCTATCAATTCTCCTTCCTGGATTTCCATGTATTCCCACCACTCATCAGATAAAGCTATTTGTCCTACCCATAGCTGTACACAATGAGCCTTGTATGATTCAGTCCACCTCCCTGTCTCTATGGGCCTGCCAAGCAGATACAGCGTGCTATGGTGCTTTAGTTACATTGGCACCTTTACAGGTATTCAGTCATCACTATTCCACCTGTAAATCTATCAGTGGAATTCCTCTTTATTTATACATTAAAATCAGACTCTTATCCCTTCCTGTCCCCTTCCTTTCCTAGGAGCGGTTGGACCATTTAAAACAAGGAAATACATCATCATATCCTGCAGATCCCGAATATTGGGAATACACCGAGGTTATGTAAAGTCTAGATGTGTTGTAGCATGTAGTTCTTCACGACTTCCCTCCTGATTTGTTGTGGTGAAGGTTACAGCGGTTATAGCGGGCTTCGCTATAATAGTGATCAGACGCAGCCTTGATGTCATTGCAATGAATGATTAAGGGGTGTGGGTGTTTAATTGAGTTATGTTATGAACATCGCTTGGCTTGTTCCGAGTACCTGACATGAGTGAGACCTGAACAGATGCATCTGTAGCAAAGCATGTCCTGAGTTTGTGGAACATTAGCGATCATTTGTGTCACTTGACGTTTTATGAATTGGAAACCATTGTAATGAGACCATTAAGGATTGCACTACAGAGGCTGCAGGCGATATGCAGCATGATGGAGGACCAGACTATGTTACCTTTACAGGCAATAGGCTACATGTTGCAGGACTGAAATATGTTCCCTTTACAGGCAATAGGCTACATGTTGGAGGACCGAAATATGTTTTCTCTTTACAGGCAATAGGCTACATGTTGGAGGACCAAAATATGTTCTCTTTACAGGCAATAGGCTGCATGCTGAAGGACGGAAATATGTTCTCTTTACAGGCAATAGGTTGCTTGTTGCAGGACTGAAATATGTTCCCTTTACAGGCAAGAGGCTACATGTTGCGGGACTGAAATATGTTCCCTTTACAGGCAATAGGCTGCATGTTGGAGGACCAAAATATGTTCTCTTTACAGGCAATAGGTTGCTTGTTGCAGGACTGAAATGTGTTCCCTTTACAGGCAAGATGCTACATGTTGCAGGACTGAAATATGTTCCCTTTACAGGCAAGAGGCTGCATGTTGGAGGACTGAAATATGTTCCCTTTACGGGCAATAGGCTGGATGTTGGGGGACGGAAATATGTTTCCTGTACAGGCAATAGGCTGGATGTTGGGGGGATGGAAATATGTTTCCTTACAGGCAATAGGCTGCATGTTGGAGGACCGACATATAAAGGGGGACAGTTCAGTCCAATAGGCCAGGCATAGGGAACTGAAATGACGCATGTAGAGGGTATCAACTCTGCAATACAATAATGCAAGGCACAACAGGAGTAACAATACATTTAGTGGTGATTTCTGCACTGTTCACTATGCGGACGTGATTAGCAGCATATTTTGGCCACTAGATGGATCTGAGGAGCATAGGAATTTCTTTTGAGGCATTCCAAGACTCTGACAGCCACAGGCATGACTCCATGATTGGACTAATAGTTTCACCATAGCTGGAGTGCCATGGTTGCCTTACCCCTGCCCTGCACAAAAGAAAGCAGGTAATCCTTGCAGTACATTACATTGCAGAAATGATCCACTTTGCTGGTACCGATCCATAAACTGTAATGCCGGGTTTAGATGGGCTGACTCTGAATCCGATCATCTCTTTGACCGGCGCTGTACTTTACTGCAGACCACTATGATACATACTGTCACCAGGCAAAGCCCACAAGATCCATTCCATCCCAAACAGCTACACAATCCCACATGGTTGCCAGTTGACTGTTGAAATGCTCATAAGAAATACATTATTATCCATTAAGTGTATTATATGTTCGATGTGAATGTATTCTGTAGCGGATTTGACATTTGCTAACATCTGATTGATTTATGTCTTCTAGGAGTACAAACAGAAGCTTGCCCGTGTAACGCAGGTCCGGAAAGAGTTGAAGTCCCATATACAGAGCCTGCCCGACCTGTCACTACTACCCAACGTCACGGGTGGACTGGCACCTCTTCCTTCCGCCGGGGATCTCTTCTCTACCGATTAGGAGCAACTCTTTGTTTGGTCCACTCCTTTATCCATCCACACCTAAACCTAAACACCAGCAGAGGAGGAGTGGAGTCTTACTGAGCTAGAGAGACTGGAACGGGATCCTCAATGAATTATGACCCTATGGCGCCCACCAGGGAGAGTAACTACAAGCCAGTGCCCCATCTCTTTCCCAAGTAGAGTCTTAGTGTCAGCTGCTGATGGACAAAGCCAAGAGGGCATTTGCTGGGCTCCCACCATCTTTATGAATTTTTTTTTAGAGACTCGTTTATGATGTGTGCACAGATTATGCTTCTTGATTCGCTTTTTTGGCAGCTTCTCTTTCCTGTTCCAATCAGGAGATGGGGGAAATTAATTTTGTGTTCAGGTGCAGCATGGCTAATTTCCTTGTAATGTGCTGCTGGTCAGGAGTAATACACAATATAGTGTGTCTCATTCTGAAGCGTGTCCGAGAGTCTGTATACCGACCACATACATCTTAATGCAACAAGTTCAGCTTCTCAAGTCTGATTGGAAACCATTGTAGTGGTAAATTGGTGCTTCCTTTTGTCAAAGAGAACCTATCCTCACATGTTAACTTGAAACCCAACTGAAGTCCCAGAGATCGATATTCAATAGGTATTGTACGAGCGGCTGCCATAGGTATTGTACGAGCGGCTGCCATAGGTATTGTACGAGCGGCTGCCATTTTTATAGTCTTACCCCCACTTTCCTTTTATAATAATTGTATGATGCACCTGAATAGGACTGCGCAGTTCTATAGGCACCAGAGTGTGACCATGCTGCTCTGTGCACTCTGTAATATAGCAGACCTGGTCAGACACCCCCCTCTCGCTTTCTGCAGTCCAAGTCTATGCAAGGTCACTTTGTGTTGTGGGCTGTGACTATTACTGGACTATATCAGCATAGAGCTCAGGAGTAGGAGGCCAGGGAACACATTTTCACTAAGAAAAGAAGATTTTAAAGTGCAGCTGAAGCAAACATTTTTAGTTTTGGATAGAGTAGATAGATCTTGGAACCCCTGTCAGGTTTTTTTCGCTGTCTGTGTCCCCATTAGGGAGATTCACCCTCTCGCTTTGTCCTGGTGACCGTTATCAGTGTAATCCTACATTTTGGGTTGTCACCAGGACAGGAATAGATGGGAAATCTTCCAATGGGGACATTGTTCTGCTAACCACCAGGGATTTCCCTCTCCTTTGGAGAGATTTCCTCTCACTTCCTGTTGTGGCTATCAGACAGGAAGTGAAATCTTCTGAATCTGGGACACAGATGGCACAGAAAGCTGATGGGGATTATAACCCTCCCTTACGCTATCCAAACCTTTTTGGCTTCAGTTCTTTAAGGCATTTTGTAGTAAAAGAATCATACTATGAACAGAACAGCAATGCAGATCGGGACAAAGGTGCGAGTGCTGAACTGGGTTTAAATGTGGAAGCCGAACTCCAGCCTAACTGGCATAATATGAGTGAGCTCCCAGATTTGTTAATCTGTTTGGCCAGTCTTAAAATCCAGGTACCCCTGTAAAGCTTGCCTTAAACCACTATTGTGTTCAGCACCACAGCTTGTTCACCGAACTGCCCCAGAGCTGCTGATTGGACATTGGAGGGGACCATCGGTACGTTTACAGGCTTATCAATGTGCTCTCTCCTCTCGATACCAGTCTCTGTGTTAGACTGACAACACTGTGCAATGCTGCACAGCTTGACTAGCTCTTGAGTGCTACCCAGTCCTGTAGGGTTCAGCATTAGAAGAAGCAAATCTAAGGCCAGATTCAGATACTTATACTAGCTGCATTCAATCTTATGGAAGACCCTTTTCTACATAAACATCGAACTAGACTACATGGGGGTTTTTATATCCTCCTGGAGTTCAGCTTTAAAAAAAAATTTCGTCTTCGAGTATGGAAGGGTTCAAATGCAACACACTCTAAAATCCAACTTTTTTTGCCATCTTGTGTTCCTTTGGGGAGATTTTCCTTCACTTCCTGTCTCAAAACGCATCAGGAAGTCAGAAGAAATCTCAAAGTATTGGCTTTTCCCTCACTAGCACCAATTGGCATGGCAAGGCTGCATTCACGTGCGTTCAGGGATTCCTGCAGCAGGATTTCTAGGCGTCCCCGTACAGATGCGGCCGTTGTACCCACTGAAGTTAATGACAGTGGGCGCTTATGTCTGCTGCAGACCGCAAGTAGAATTTATTTGCCACCTGAGCCCAGGGGGTGGAGATGGTTTAAGGGGGCAAGTGTGCTGGTGGTGCACACTGATTGCTGGGTGGTTTGGGTAGTGCTGGTGATGCACAGAAACTCCCCAATGATTGCGCTCTGCAATCGTTGTGTA